ATTTGTTCATTAAATGTGTTCATTAAATGTGTTTATGGATTAGCCCGTTTTTTTACAATATTAAGAAAGTATATTACGAAACCATGAAACTGTATTATGAAAGTATATTACGCATAAAACTGTACGTAGAAACTGTATAACAGTAGCATAACAATAACAGATAATGGAAGTATATTAAAACTGTAGAAAACTGTAGAAACTGAAAGTATTACGTACACATAATATAGAAACTGTATAATGAAAGTATATTAACGTATACATAAAACTATAGAAACTGTAGAAACTGAAAGTATATTACGTATACATAAAACTATAGAAACCGTATAATGAAAGTATATTACGTATCAGTTATGAAACTTTATTTTACACAGAGACTTTTTTTTTAGACTTTTAATTCAAGAACTTAACAAACATTAAACTTTAGTTATTGAATATAAGATGCAGAGTTTATTAGACAAAATGAACATAAGGTTTTATGTACAGAGAGACCAAATTATACTAATTAAAAAATTTACAAATGAAATTAATGATCTATATAATTAAAATTAAAAGATACCCAAGATAGAAGAAAGTGAACAAATTTGGGTAATTCAAAGATAGAAAACAAAGGTATGCAAGTGAATGCAAATGCGATAAAATGAATAAAATCTTATTGTTGATAACAACCCATGATGAAGTATGTGTATGAAGTATAATTTTATGGTGAACTGCAATGCAAAAAGTACAGCTTATGTTTCTATCTGTATAGGTAGAAATAGGGTGTGCATATATTATCTAAAAAATGTATTCTCGAGTATATATTATGATTATTATTAGAAAAAGGTGATGATATATTATAATGTCATCACGTGAATTTGAATTTATGTTTGAAATTATTTTCAAAAAGAAATTCTAGTTATTCTAATCACCATTATCATATGATTCTTATAGTGTTAAAATAAGCATAGAAAAAGTACGAAAAGGAAGGTATATTCATTAAACGAAAAATGTTTGTGGTTTGTGTTTGTGATTAAGAAAAGTTTACGATGAAAGCCGAGTATTTTATGAAACTAAAATATTTTTTTCTAAAAGAAGTATAGTACAAAACAAAAAATATACAAGTGTAATATGTGTTTTTTTTTTAAGAATTGCCAAAGAATACCAGATTCTTTGGCAAAGATGAGAAACTTGATCGTTTACATTCTTTCGAATATCTAAAGAATGCAAATAATAATTAGTTTAACAGTTTAAATATAATAAATATTTTTAATATAATTTTAAGATAATATATACCCAGTCATCCATATTATCTTCCTCGACGATTGTGGTCTTTTTATCTTCATTAATATATTTTACGATCCAATCATCCCATAAAGAATCCGATGAAATTTTGTCACTGGTAATCAAATTTTCAGATATGGAACTTCCTTGACGTGTGTGACGTCTAGAGTGGTTATGTTGAAATCTGGCTACAACGCTACAAGCAGCGGCACCAACGTGTGGTGAGGAAGTCTTAAGTTTTGTAGAAGAAACGCTACTTTCTCTGGTATGAATTTTTCCCACACTAGAACTTTGCTTTGAATGAGAGGGTGACTTTGGTAAACCTTCGGGGCGTTTGTATTCAATGTTATAAACCAATCTGTTTTTAATGGAGCAAACAGTAACGTGAGCAGCGGTCAAATCAGCCTGGACTGCTTCAAAGCTTCCTGGTCTTGATAATGTTGGACGAATGGAATCATCCAAATTCCCACTAGAGTTGTTACCACGAAGGCAAACATTTTGTTCGTACCACTGAGAATAGAAGGACATGTTGAGAAAGAGAAAAGAAAGATAAAAAAAATCGAGTAAAAGTTTATATATATTGTATATATATATGTGTGTGAATATATATCTATATATCTATATGAATGATCAAGATTGCAAAAAAATTTTTTTTTTCGAGAGCCAGATTTATGTGGTATTTATATTTCTGAACAGTTATAAACAGTGTAAATAGTGTAAATAGTGTGAATAGTGTAAATAGTGTGAATAGTGTAAATAGCGTAAATTGAACGGTTAAACAGTTGATAATCGAGTCCTGTTTATATCTGACAGGCATGACATAACGCAGTTTTTTTATATTGGTTATTGTATATCATTTTGGTATTTAATACAGCTAATACAGTTAATAATAATTGACTATAAAAAAAAATAAATTAACTATAGAAAAAAATAAATCGATAAGCCATAAATTGATTATTTATGTTGTAAACAAAATTAGAATTGTTACCTAGACTTGAAGATGATGACCGAATTTAGTTGTTATTAAGGCTACCTAGCCAAGAGAACGCGATAATCAGACTTATGGTTTCATTAGTATTTCACTTGAGATAGTCATAAATAGGAAATGTTAATACTATAAATGCGCAAAAGCAGGAGATTATCTGAGTACGTAATATAAATCATTTAAGAAAAGGAAATATATATATATAATAACCAACTTATTCCTACACATTATATATCGGAAGAACATTTACCTTTTAATTTTTAATTTTGAGGTTTTTTTATGCAATGAGGATCGCTTGTACAAAAAGGAAGTTACTACGTACGTACACGTATTTATCTGTTATGGTACGTATGTATGACAATTATCCTCTTATCATGACTCCATGAACTCCACGAACTCCATGAATTCATGACACTGCGTAAAAAAATAATCCATTTTAGGATTTTAATGATTTCGAGGATATGTAATCCCGTGTTTCGAATGTTTCAAATTTGATCATGATACTAAAAATGCAACTGTTAGTCATTGTGCATCTTTCTTTGTTAAGAATAATAACTACTCGTGATCTGCATTATGCACAGTAGACTTTGATAACTTGGGCTCATTTTCATATATACAATAAAACTTTCTTGTGACCGATTTATGAATAATTATTGGTTGCGTTTTCTTATAATCGTCTTATTATCGTCTTATTATCGTCTTATTATCGTCTTATTATTGGTTGCGTTTTATTATAATCGTCTTATTATCGTTTTATTTTCGTTTTATTATCGTCTTATTATCGTTCTTAATCATCGGCTGATATATATCTGTTATCAGATATTATCGATATTATCGATTATAAAAACTCCCGATTTAGGTCAGTATTTTTTTGGCCAATCAAATCACTGCCGTTTACTACGGATCATAAACATATGTATTATCAAACCAGTAACAATTTTTTTTCCTATCTTTAAACTGAAAATTTCTTTAATTGATAATTGATGTTTATTTTAATTACAATTACGCCGTTATACAACACTAGATGGTCTTATCTACATCTAAAGTTGATCATTATTTAATCTCGAACATTTTTAATCATTTGTTTATTTCTTTTAACAAAAATTGTTAGCTGTTGTGCGATCTTTGGTTAACCTTGTGCACACTCTTTTTTAGGAATGAAATTTAACAATATTGGGAAGAACATAAAGCCAGGATAACCTATACCTGAGAACGTGCTTAGTTCATTGGTTATACTGGTTACGATTTGATTTCATTCATTAAAAGAATTAACCAAATCTTTCCACAAATAGTGTTTACAAAACTCTTTAGCTTAAATAGAAATTCACAAGGATCATTTGAATTAAGACGAATGAAGCATTTTTAATTGGTCCCTGAGAAAATTTTCAAACTGACCTTCGTATTTTGTTTGTGGCGTTCTTTGTTGCCGTCTAAGTTACGTAATTGCTGTTAATGATTACTGTTTAATAATATAATTACTGTTTAATAATTGCCATCTAACAATTACTGTTTAATAATTACTGTTTAATAATTACTGTTAAAGGATGAAACTTTACTGAAAAATGTTGGTTACCAATTTCCAGGATCCATTTCCCGCCGAAAATCTTTACTCATAGATAATCTAATTCATCACATTATTTATGAATTATATTATGATAAAAAAATTAAAGTCATAACGGACTATAACGTATTCCGGTTAGCTATAACACTCCAAAAGCTAAAACTTTCCAATATCAACAAAAATCACCAGAATCACCAAAATCGACAAAATCACCAAAATCGACAAAATCACCAAAATCGACAAAATCAACAAATCAACAATATCGACAAAATCGACAAAATCAACATAATCGAATCAAAGAGCCTTTATTACTTCATGTCAGGTATGCGTAAAAATAATGGTGTCCAGGTTATCTTGACATCATGATAGTCTTTTACCCCACATTGATAGTCTTTACCCCACACCGGAAATATACGTACTATTCAACTTTTTCATATGTACGCAGACACGATCCACGAGTATCTCCACAATATGAATTATATTTTCGATTTTCGCGTTTTCGTGAAATTGATATTAATAGATTGTAACGCGTACAACTTTTTGTGGAAAAAACTTGATTGATCATTCATTCGTTCACAAAAAAAGATTTGCACTGGCTCAGGTCATGGGAGGAAATTTACTTGATGAAGGGTTTCCGGTGAATGTTTGCATGAGATTTACGATCCCTGTCCGGTCACGCTGGTCACGCTGGTCACGTAAATGATCTGTTTTATATATACTGATATATATATATATATATATATATCGATATACACTACGTATGTAACTAGTGGCCTAATTGTTGGTATGTAGCGCAAAGCTTGTTTCTTATTCACATGTGATCACCAAAATTATAACTACAAAAGATTATAAAGAGACAGATTAGGTGAAATTGTTTAATGCTAAATATGAAATTTACTTATCTATTCAAAAATACAAATGGTTAAATTCAATTTTATTACGAGAATCAGAATTGTCGATATTGCCGATATTACCGATATCGTGCAATTGATCCTTGCCCTAAAAAAAGAAACAAGCCTTCGAAGTCCTGCATACGTACAAATCTTGTCATTATTCGACATTATTACGAAATGACCTATCCTTTCGAAAAAAAAACAATGTTACCTGTATAATACACGATTTTCCAACTGTGTTCTCGTGGTTTTGAACTCACCTGACCTAATCATTAATATCTACACAGCCAATTAATGATAATTAATGAGTCATTCTCTTTATTGATATTACGGTTGATTTAAAAATTGGTTTGTGGTTAAGTCAATTACATGTGTAATGTTTCACCTGGCTTTTATTTGGTGATGCTTCATTGTGTATATACCAAATGTTCAGTTAGCTTTGACATTTTTATTTACCAATAAGATTTATAAAAGCCAATAATATTTTACGTATTAGGGCTCACATACAATTATCATACGTACGTATGTAGTGCATATTAACGTCAATTGTTAAATATTAGTTAAACACGTTGAATGGGATACCGGTCGGGTCCTATCGGCAAACTCCCCCAATTTTATACATCAACGCCTCTTGCATCATGTAGTGTTGTGCTATAAACGTTTTGTTTTGTTTATATGTTGCGTGCATTATTTACTCTTTTTTGTCGGACAATAATTAAATAATATATAAATTTCTATATATATACGTATATTTATATTTATATATATATATATTTATACTAATACATACATATACGTACGTATACGTACCTTTCTTTTTTTTTTATTAATACTTGAAATAGTATTAATATTTATTCTTATCATATAATTTCTTAAGAAATATCTTTATTTTCCACATATTATTTAATCTAACTATATAAAAAAATATACATACGTATATTCTAAATAAAATTTGAATTCGAAGCATTACATAAGTCGTTACACGATACGTATAAAATTTATTGTAAATATTATTGACTTTTTTCCAAGTGCATTTTCTCGTGATTATCTAGTAAAAAAGAAATTAAAAATCTAGATTTTGAAAAGTATTGAAGAACGTGTTTTTAAAAAAAAAGTTGGTCGTAAAAAAAATATATTATTAAAAGTTTTTTAATACAATATTTTAATAAATTTTAATTATTAAATATAAAGAAATTAGTTTTTAAAAAAAAATTTAAATTGTATTATTTTAGAACTTATGATTTCTGATTATATTAAGTATATATGCATCTGGAATTTTCACATGCACATGGAATTTAATCTGTCCATTTTTCATAGTAATAGCGTTATAATTTTTATTTCATTATTCGCAATACTGTTTTTTAAAATAATGGCTAATTTTTATTTTTGTATTGAAACAAATAACACCAATGTACGCCAATTGTGCAACACTACATTATAATTACCTATATATCAAATTTAGATTTAGATTAGATTATAATAAAATCAAAAATTAGAATCAAAGTTAGGTAATGGTTTTACTAAAGATTTTTTAATTTTAATTTATATACATACTATAATATGCTAATATATTATATTAATTATTTTTTGTTAAATTTTTTTAAATTATATTATATTCTTTGTTAAATTTTTTAAATTATGATACATATATTATTTGAAAAATTCTTCATTATACCGGGAATACGTATTAATAATCACCTATTTTATAATAAAAATATGTTTTACTAAAATTTAGAGTTAGAGCGCAGTTTAACTTTCAAATAAAGATCAGATATAATAGTCCAAATTTTAAATTATATTAAGTTTTCAGTTTTTTGACTATTTTTACTTAATATATCCGACCCCGTTTTTAGAAATATAGCTGATATAAATTATAAATATTTCTAATATTTAAATATTATTAATATATTTTAATAGTTATATTAAATTATATTAGTAATATTAATATTATATATATGTTTTTTTATACCAATGATATAACTATCTTCAGGCATGTGTAGTGCTCTTTTATTTATAAATTTAGTTTACATTTTATATTATAATATTAACGAATTTTTTATTAACACTTTTTTTATATATTTTCTTATAT